ATCACCAGCCCAGGTTGGGTGCATGAGACAAGTGCTCGGGCCTGGTGCACTGGGAAGACCCAGAGGGATCGGGTGGAGAGGGAGGTGGGAGGGGGGACCGGGATGGGGAATACATGTAAATCCATGGCTAATTCATTTCAATGTATCACAAAAACTACTGTAATGATATAAAGTAATTAGCCTCCAACTAATAAAAATAAATGGAAAAAAAAATAATCAAACCCTCAAGATGGTCATAAGGGACGAAAAACTCTTTGTTAATTGTGGGGACTTCTCATCTGATTGGTTTCAAGAAAATAATTTTCTGACCAAAAAAAGAACATAATTTTTTCCTTTTTTAAAAAAAATTATTGAAGTATGTTTGATTTACAATGTTGTATTAATTTCTGCTATACAGCAAAGTTATTCAGTTATACATATTATATATTCCTTTAAATATTCTTTTTCATTATGCTTTATCACAGGGTATTGAATATAGTTACTTGTGCTGTACAGTAGAACCTTGTTGCTTATCCATCCTATATATAGTAGTTTGTATCTGCTAATCCCAAACTCTCAATCCTTCCCTCCCCAACCCTGGCCCACTTGGCAACCACAGTCTGTTCTCTATGTCTGTAAGTCCGATTCTGTTTCTTAGGTATGCTCATTTGTGTTGTATTTTAGATTCCACATATAATTGATATTATATGGTATTTGATAGCAAGTCTGTGCACTGAAATGAAAAAATCCCGCATGACTCAATGAAGATCCCATGTGCTGCTACTAAGACCCAACACAGCTAAATACATAAATATTTTTTAAGGTAGATTCTGCCTAGGAGGTATTAAAGCCAATCCCTGACAGCCATCTTCTCCCATTCAGTCACAGCCACAAAAGCTTAGAATTTAAATGCAAAGGAATTCAGGGTTCTTACTTGTAAATGGGGTGGAATTGTCAGGGACTGGAGCGGATCTGAACTCTGCACCAGAGGACCTCTCCTTGGTAAGTGAGGTCTCAGCTATGCCAGATATGGGGACCTTTGGTGGTTCATCCTTAGCCACTGAAGTGGTGATGTCCACAGTGGTCATCCCAGGGTTCCTATCCTCTCCTGTAGCAGTGCTCAGGGACCAGCAGGAATCTTCTGTGGATCCAGTACTTGGGAAAGTGTTTGTTTTCTGAGACTGAATGTTTGTGGATAATGTGACTGGTGTCGGTTCTGAAGCGGGAGGAAGTGACATGAGGACTGGGGGTTCCCGTGCTTCAGAGGAACTGGAGGAAGGTAAGATGAAGCTGGGAAAAGAGACTGGGGAAAAGAGAAACCTGGTTTCTTCTTTAGAGAAAAAGCTTCTCCATGATAGTGTCCCTGGACCCCTGCTCACAGGAGCAGTCATCTTAGTCATATCCAAGGGTATCCCTTCCCAGAAATCTGTCATTGTTTTGTCCAGAAAAACTGCATCTCCAGGCTTCATCCTAGTGGGACCTGTTGATGTTGTAAAGGTAATATGTAAAGATTCTGTTGTAGAACTGTTGGAAGAGGAGGTAGAACTGTTGACATTGGTTCCTTTGAAGATACTGGATATCCCCAAGGACTGAGTAGGGCCTGGGCTACATATTCTGTCCAGAGGTGTGAACACATTCCTGGTGACATCAGTAGTAGCAATGCCATACATCTGAGAAGGGATCATGCTTCTCTCTATGGCTGAGCAGGTCTCACTTGGCCCAGAGGTTTCAGTGGAAACAGGTTCTTCCTGAGTCCTGGTAGACACAGGATAAGTGGAAAATGTCTGAGACAGGTTGGTGGCCTCCACAGTGGATGTAGTAACCACTGAAGAAATGGCCTTGTGAGGCACTGAGAGTGCAAGGGCAGAGGAACATGGCTCAGAACCAGAACTGATAGTCTGATGAGTGGTCACTGCTGCTTCTGTCAAACGATTCATCTCTGTGTCTGGGGTGGTCTTGGAAATGGCCAGTCTATCATGTGAACTACTGATCAAAATTGGAGATTTCTCGATCCCAGATTCCTTGCTTGTGCCCACAAGCTCTGTGGTCTTCAGCAGTCCAGGAAAGTGAGAGAACTCCTTGATTGTCTCCAGGGAGATGGAAGAGACTGATGCTATTTCTGTGGTCAGTTGTGTGGTCAAAGTTGTCTGTACTTCACTTCTAGAGATGGATGGATCTGTCATCTCCAATATAGGAGCCCCTAGACTCTGTCCCTGGGCACTTGAATTGAGGGTTAGGGTTCTCACTGGAGATGTGATCTCTCCAGGAAGAGTCACTGAAACTGTGGACTTCTGTCTCGAAGATATAGAAGTCATGATGGGAGAGAGCACGGAGCTCTGCTCTGGCTCTCCACTGGTGAGAACAAGATCTCCGGTGACGGACACTTCGGTGCTACTGTTTGTCTGAGGCAACGTGACCCCATCTGTCATGGTCCTCGGAGGGAATGGCAGCAATGAGGTAGATGAGTTATCACTGGACCCTGAGGTGACTCCTTGAGATCTTGTGGTTCCAACAAGAACTGAACCTATTATAGACACTGAAGACACAGATCTTCTAGGGGCCAAATCCAAAGTGGAGACATCAGGCATAAAGGCTGAAGGGGAGCCATTATGTCAGTCTGTGCACTTAGCAGCTCAAGAGAAGTAATGAAAACAGGGAAGGCTGCTATTTCAGATCCTTAGGGAGTCGAGTTTGTACCTGAAATCTCAGAGCGCTCACCTCCTGGTCATCAGGAAAAATTGCAGTGGGAGCAGATGTGCTTATGTTCCTTGGCCTTAAGGCTTCTAGTCTTGTGCTGAGGTCAGTGATTTTTATCTGAATAAGGGGACTATAGAGCAGCCAGAATCATTCCAGTGAAAACTGAAGAACGATGGGTAGATCCTGTTGCTGTGGCTGTTGCTAAGGATGATGATGTTCTTCCTGTATTATTGACCTCAGGAAAATCATGTAAGTGGTCAGCTGTGCCTGTGGAAGTCCATGGAGAAGTCCCTGGTGCTTGGGTGCTGTGTGTGGTTTTGAAGCCTCCTCTGTGGTGTAGGCATTAAAGGTGAAACTGACCTCGCTCCCTTGGGACTGGAGGTGATGACCTCCTGAGTGAGGTCCCCACCCTTGATTGTTAGCTCTGCAGGAAATGATGTCACAGAAAGGGCCCCAGGTGGAGAGAGATGTAGTTTCAATGGTCTTCTGTCCTGTGATGTACTCAGACTTTCGCCCCTTTAAAGAGAAGTAGCCAGTAGTCTCTCTTGTAATACTGATAAGGCTTATAGTGGTTGAGTCTTCTGATCTACCAGAAGCCCAAGGTGGAAATAATGTAGGCTCTGGAGGTGGTAATAGCTATGTCTGTATCCACAGAGGAGACACGCAGTGTCAGGTCACTTAAGGCTGTCTGCTCTGACCTGGGGCTAGCAGAGGAATAAGTATCACCCACAGGTCTATGTATTATAGCTGTTATTTAGTTGTCATTGTCTTTTTACTCAGGGCAATGGAAGGAATGACCCTGGAGCTGACCCATATCATGGTTCTGAGTTCAGATTTATCTGTCACTGAACATTTGGTTACTTTTTTTTTTTGGCCATACTGCTCAGCATGTGGGATCTTAATTCCCTGACCAGGAATCGAACCCATGACCCTTGCAGTGGAAGCGTGGAGTCTTAACCACTGGACTTCCAGGGAAGGCCCAACTTGGGGTTACTTTGGTGATCATAACAAAGCTGGTTGCAGAGTCTTGAAGGCTGGTGGGACATGTGCTCAAAAGGGCATACATGTTCATTATGGTCCTTCCTATGGAGCCAAGCCATGTGGATAAGTCCATTTCAATTGTCTTAAGAATCAGAATTGAGCTGACTCATTGGCTATTTCCTATGGAACAAGGGAAGATATTACTCCTCTTTTTTAAACTTTTATTTCCTTCCTGATAGTTTGAGTTTATTCTGTTCTTTTTCTTTATTTATTCAAATATTTTTTGGCTATGGTGGGTCTTCACTGCTGCATGTAAGCATTCTCTTGTTGCAGCAAGCAGGGGCTACTCTCTAGTTATGGTGCCTGGGCTTCTCATTGCAGTGAGTTCTCTTGTGGAGCATGAGCTCTAGGGTGTTTGGGCTTCAGCAGCTGTGGCGCATAGGCTTAATTGCCCCATGGTGTGTGAAATTTTTCTGGACCAGGGATTGAACTTGTGTCTCCTGCCTTAGCAGGTTGTTTCTTAACTACTGTACCCCCAAGAAAGTTCCCTTCTTCCTATATATTTTTATACACTTTCACTTCTCTCATCAAAAAAGAACAGAAACCTTTTATCTTCTAGCACAGAGGGACATTATCTGATAATGTAAAATTATTATCATATATTTATATTTTTATTAGAATTCTTCAGAACTGTAAACAATTAGACAATATATCAGGAAAAAATATGGAACATTAACATCCTTTAAACTTGTACCACTTATATATTTACACATAACATTACTGTATATATAAAAAATATTTTCAAAGACTCATGGGCTTGGGGATATTTAAAAGACACTATTGTTACATTTGAATATTTACTAAAAAAATTCCACAAAATAATTTCAAACATTAAGCTACTGCAAAGAAACAGCAGATGTAAAAAAAATGATAAAAGTATAAACTTTCAAGAATGTCCTAGACAAACTCTCAGTGAAGTTTTGTATCATTCTAAGCATTTTAAGTGAATACCTCCTCTCAACTACAAGCCATGTATTGAAAGTTGTAACAGTGGACAAGAATTCTTTCACTTTATGTTATAATCATCTTAGCAACTAATTGTCCTATAAAATAAACCTATGGCATCTCACTTTTATGTTTCCTGCTCATGGCAACCCTTGATCTATAAGATAGATAGTGCCTGTTTTAGGAAAGCCCTTCATACTTGTCTGCTGACTTGTAGAGTCACTGTATTCATTCCTAAGTGGAAGCAATTGGGTCTTGTGGATATAAATTACCAAACAGAAGCAATTCATGTTAGAGGTGAGATTAGAAATCTCCCTAAAAATGAGTATCAGTAGCCTCTGAGTACAAAAGTAGAAAGTTGTGATTATCTACTAGAATCTGGAACACAGACAATCAATTATCTTACTTCAGAGTGAAACTGTTAGTCATCAGTCACGTCTGACTCTTTGCGACCCCATGGACTGTAGCCTACTGGGCTCCTCTGTCCATGGAATTCTCCAGGCAAGAATACTGCAGTGGGTTGCCATTTCCTACTCCAGAGGATCTTGCTGACTGAGGGATCAAACCTGCATCTCCTATATTGGCAGGCAGATTCTTCACTGCTCAGCCACCAGGGAAGCCTGTTACTCCAAAGACCAGGAGAAAAGACTCAAGCATTATGTACCAAAATATGACCACACATACCCAGACTGATGGTCTCCAGAGATGTGAAGCTACCCACTGGCCGTGTAGTGCTTCCAGGTTCCTTGTCCCTCAGATACATGGTGGTGGTTGCCACTGACCCTGAGGAAGAAGGGGACAGAAGTGTCAGTCTCCCATTCCCTTAAGATGCACGTCCACAAGAAATGCTCTTGCTAGATCCTGGCTCAGTAACTGAGCCTCATCTGCCTCTGAGAAGGCACTCTGGAAGGAATAATTCTCTTATTGGCATGAAATCAAATCCACAATATGACCTGGGTCTTAATTGTGGAAAATAATGGGACTGCTGAATGTATTGGCCTCAAGCAAAAACATTTGTGATAGTATGTCTCCATCACTTAAAAAAATATATTGAGGGCTTCCCTGGTGGTGCAGTAGTTAAGAGTCTGCAATCCAATGCAGGGGACATAAGTTTGATCCCTGGTCTGGGAATTTCCCACATGCCATGGAGCAACTAAGTCCATGCATCATAACTACTGAGCCTGTGCTCTAAAGCCTGGGAGCTGCAACTACTGAAGCCTGCATGCCTAGAGCCTGTGCTTCACAACAAGAAAAGCCACCACAATAAGAAGCCCATTTACCGCAACTAGAGAGTAGCCCCCACTTGCTGCATCTAGAGAAAGCCAGCACACAGCAACGAAGACCCAGCATGGCCAAAAACAAACCACTGAATAAGTAAAATTAAAAAACACTAGATTCTCCTTTATTTATTTATGGCCACACTGTGGCATGTGGGATCCTATTTTCCCAACCAGAGATTGAACCTGCACCCTTGGCTCAACTACTGGATAATCAGGGAAGTGCCTCCATCACTTATAATGTGTGAATTCACCGTTATTTAATTTTTCACTCCTATGGTTTGGACTCCACATAAGTAAAATCAGAAGAATATCTGGAGTTATTATATCTGGTTAGTTAACATATAAAAATATTTCTTGATTACTCATTTTGTCATTTTCTTTTATCATTCTTTTATAATTATTATCACACACACTCTACCGCTGGGGAGGGAAAAGCTAGGCTTTGGCTGGAAAGACCTGAATCTGGGCTCAAGGATGCTAAAGATGTCACTAGTTGCATATAGATAGTAGAATGAACCTATGAGATAAGTGGAAACTGAAAGGGGAGGTGAAGGATACTGCAGAGACTTTGTAAGTGTGATCAGAGGAGATGAAGACAAAACATGGAGCTGGTTGCTCCTAGTAGAGCCGGGCGCAGGAGAAGAGGCTGGTGGTTCTGGCATTCTCGGAAATGGTATGTGAAGGCTGAAGTTGGACGTGTTAGTTGATTAAAGGTTAGGTTCTGTGCGTGGGGATTTCTCTGGTGGTCCAGTGGCTAAGACTCAGAGCTCTCAATGCAGAGTGCAGGGGTTCGATCCTTGCTCAGGGAACTAGATCCCACACGCTGCAACTGAGAGTTCACATGCTGTAACTAGGAGTTTGCATGCTGCAACTAAGACACAGCTCAGCCAAATAAATAAATAAATAAAATTAAAATTAGGTAGATGTTAGGGGCATAGACTCTTCCTTCTGACAACTCCATTGAGGGAATGAGGTGGAATACCCATGGGGACCAGAGGTGTGCTTCCGTATATCAACACTTGTGGTGATATGCCTTGGTGATAAGGAAGTCATAGAAGGTAACTTGAACTGTTCCCATTTACTAGTTTCAGTTTTATCCTTTAACATGCTTGTGGTGACTCTCCTACTGAAAAATATGGTCACTGTGACTTTGTAAATGAGAACTGAAGGAGATGAGGATGAAATACAGACCTGGTTGCTTCTAGCAGAGCCAGGCGCAGACTAAGTCCATGCATCATAACTACTGAGCCTGTGCTCTAAAGCCTGGGAGCTGCAACTACTGAAGCCTGCATGCCTAGAGCCTGTGCTTCACAACAAGAAAAGCCACCACAATAAGAAGCCCATTTACCGCAACTAGAGAGTAGCCCCCACTTGCTGCATCTAGAGAAAGCCAGCACACAGCAACGAAGACCCAGCATGGCCAAAAACAAACCACTGAATAAGTAAAATTAAAAAACACTAGATTCTCCTTTATTTATTTATGGCCACACTGTGGCATGTGGGATCCTATTTTCCCAACCAGAGATTGAACCTGCACCCTTGGCTCAACTACTGGATAATCAGGGAAGTGCCTCCATCACTTATAATGTGTGAATTCACCGTTATTTAATTTTTCACTCCTATGGTTTGGACTCCACATAAGTAAAATCAGAAGAATATCTGGAGTTATTATATCTGGTTAGTTAACATATAAAAATATTTCTTGATTACTCATTTTGTCATTTTCTTTTATCATTCTTTTATAATTATTATCACACACACTCTACCGCTGGGGAGGGAAAAGCTAGGCTTTGGCTGGAAAGACCTGAATCTGGGCTCAAGGATGCTAAAGATGTCACTAGTTGCATATAGATAGTAGAATGAACCTATGAGATAAGTGGAAACTGAAAGGGGAGGTGAAGGATACTGCAGAGACTTTGTAAGTGTGAGCAGAGGAGATGAAGACAAAACATGGAGCTGGTTGCTCCTAGTAGAGCCGGGCGCAGGAGAAGAGGCTGGTGGTTCTGGCATTCTCGGAAATGGTATGTGAAGGCTGAAGTTGGACGTGTTAGTTGATTAAAGGTTAGGTTCTGTGCGTGGGGATTTCTCTGGTGGTCCAGTGGCTAAGACTCAGAGCTCTCAATGCAGAGTGCAGG